GAGAGAGAGAGAGAGAGAGAGAGAGAGAGAGAGAGAGAGAGAGAGAGAGAGAGAGACAGACAGACAGACAGAGCAGAAGCCATAAGACGCCATCAGCGAGTGTTGCTGTGCGCCACGGCGTGGCCATGGCGGGTTCTACTTGTTTTCAAAAACTTCGAAAAGAGGCATTGAGTAAATCGGACGGACAGTCTGAACAGTTTTTATGACCGATGGTCTAGTCCAATATTTTAAGCCCTCCTTTGCATCCACCGATTTAACCATCGGCAATTGCCAGCAGATCTTACAGAAAAACACATCAGCCGCCAATTGGGACCATCGGCTGAGTACGACCACGGATGGCACTGATCAATGACTTAGTGATCCAGCAAAATCCAATTCAGAGGGCGTTGGCCCACCCGTGCTGTCAGATGCACCGATCTCACACGTTCCTCATCATATGTCAAATTCATAAAATCCGAATTTTCCAAATCAACAACCTTCAACAGGATCCTGCTCACATACATTCCGCCCCGAATTTTCCAAATCACCTAGGAAGTCCATTCTTTTTTCCATTTTCCGGCAATATGGTACATGCTTGACTGTCCTGTCATCGGACCTATGGATTGTTTCACTATCCACGCTAATCACCGCGAGGAAATTTTGAGCCCAACTTTGTTTAATGTTCTATCAGTAATCACTCGACAACCAGTAACTTGCCCAGCTATCGCTGCAGTACCATGACAGTCCATCAAAAATGAATTTCACCTGGTGCAGGAAGGCCCATACATCCAACCCAAGGCACTTTGTATACGAGCACAGCTTCCAGAGGGACTGTTGGTTTTGGAAAAAGCCACACTTCCATGATGACAGCTGCATTGGGTTACACACAATCCTGTACCTTCTCCAGCCCCTCAAACACTGCCCCTTTTATTTTCTATCTTTTCCAACAATCCTTCCTGCTTGTATCCGCCCCATTGCCAAAAGCTTGCCACCATCTTCTTACTATCTACAGCCTTATGACAGCGCTCAATTGTTATTTCAACCATCATCAGGAATCTGCAATGAGCCTCAGACTTGTGAAACAACACCGTTCTTTTTTTTCCACCCCTTTTTCATGTTTCGTTAACCAAACATCCAATGTCACCTGTGGCAAGGTTCCGCATGAATAGCCGAAAACAAGGTTCCACAATGCATCCACATCAATGGCCGAAAACAAAGAATTGAACTTTGCAGGACAAGGTTCTTTGCACCCCCCCATCCTTCTAAACATCCGCTAAATTTGGACCGATACAGGAAGAATAGCATGGCCACACCGCAAGGATGACACACGTAAATCAAAAGTCTTCTTATACGCTCAAAAGGAAAACACAGGTGTCGTGTGAGGCTCCCACGTGAGACCCAGCCGCCCCGTGTTGGGAAAAGGACGGGGACAAGGGGCACGGCTCATTTGGGAGGTTCCCCACCGCCACAAAAATTTCCCCATGCCTTGTTTTGTTTTGCGCCCAATATGCATTTGTTTTTGGTGTTGGGGCGTTCGGGAAGTTTCCCAAGCATCGTTCCGCGCGCGACGCAGGCCTGTTTTGGTGTTGCCTT